CATTGTTAACAATGTACGCTTCATTTTTCTCATCCCGGTTCGATTTATATCTTGCGATTAAACCAGAAATTAGTTGCTATGAATTGAGAGAACCGAATCTAAATTAATCACCTGGTTTAACATCAAACCAATCTGTATCTCACTCTTTCATAGTTGCAAACCGGTTCGATAGATTGGGCTAAAGCAAAGCCCATCATTATAAAACCCTAGACGAGAAAACACACTTCGCCATTTCTATCGTCTTCTTCGATCTACAGATTCTCAAAATCCAGAGCTTGCTTGTTTGTGATTTCTATTCGTTGTGGAAAATGAAGCCAGTGATTGGTACTGTTGTGTCGAACAAGATGCAGAAGTCAGTGGTAGTCGCCGTCGATAGACTCTTCCACAACAAGCTCTTCAATCGCTACGTCAAGCGTACTTCCAAGTTCATGGCTCACGACGAGAAGGACGCCTGTAACATCGGCGATCGAGTAATTCCATTGATTTTTAAAACTTTTCTTTGCGAGCTCTCAATCTTGTGGGAGATTTTCTAGTGAATTTGAGATACATTTGATCTAGTGAGCATTCACGGAAGCTTGTGTCTTATCGATCACCTGGGCTTAGCTTTAATCACTCGATATGTTCATTATTTCTGTTATTTTCATAGAGAACAAAAGGATTTAGAAGAATTAGAACATGTTACATTTGGGGAATGTTTGAATTAAACCATTGGAAGTTGTCTTATCCGTTTGTTGTTATTGACGCAAATTTCTTCTTGTTGGCTGCTCCTGAAATAGAAACTTGATTGGTAATAATGCAGGTGAAATTGGATCCTTCGAGGCCTTTGAGCAAGCATAAGCATTGGGTTGTTGCTGAAATCATAAAGAAAGCACGCATTTATTCTCCCCAGGCTGCTGCTGCTGCAGCCCTCAATTTCTCAGCTGCAAAAGCTCCTTCGGCCTCCGTTTCTGAGGAGTCCTCGATTCCCCCTGTTTCGTCTTCCTAAGGTGATTTGGTCATAGCTCTGTGCGTTTAACTGTACCACACTTCTGTTGTTGAAAATCTTTTGCAAGTTCAGTGTAGTATCTTCTGGTACGTTTATAAAGATAGCTAGTTTCAGATTTGTGGAACATCATCATGTGACTTTGCTGTTTCTGAAATAAATCATCGACATTTGACTGTTGATAGTGGCTCTTAAGGTTGTAAGACACTACTCTGTGGCAATATAGCTTTGTTAGGCAATTCAATATTATAGACCATTGTGCGACCTTGTCTTGGTCTTTTGTTAAGCTTGTCTCAGTATTCTGTATAACAATGGAAACGCTTCTTTTATTGATAGGTTTAGCCGGTCCCTTTCTTCTAAACGTTACCAGTTACTGTAGAGCATATATGGTCGTCTATTTTCTTTACCTCTCTGGTTGGTTTGCCTTACCTCTGTCCCTCATGCTGCAGTTTTGCAGTTCAAGCGCAAACTCACCCAGGGTCGAGAAATTGGTTTCTCAGACTGGAGAATCATAAACATAGGATGTGGTAACAACAAAATTAGTCCATCAGCTGTAGTGTAGTGCTTTTAGGTGATGTTGGTCAGATTTTTTTGTATCCTGCTGAGTTGTATGCATGACTGATGAATATGATGTTACAAATGATGATAGTCCATTGAAGGTTGATGAATGAATAATTCTCACTCTATTAAAAAAAAGCCAATCTGTATAAAAAGACCAAGAAGGGTACATAGATTGGGTTTAGTTAAAATCTACATTTACTCATCTAATTGCAATTAAAGCTATTGGAGAAAGGTAGAAACAATTCTGTATATAAGAAACCAGCAGCAGCAAAGTTTGTCAACTTCAAATTGTGTACATGAAACAATTCTGGTTTGGAACTAAACCGAACCTAATCAGCTTTGCCATGTCAGCGTTGTAGCCACTACTCCATGATACATTTGATTGGTCTGTTATGATGTTATGTGGGTCCCAGCATATCAGGATGCAGTGGCAGAACTCTGCATCCAGAAGATAAAATTTGTTCATTTTCTCAGCTTCAAACAAACAAAATAAAATTTGTTACTGGTGTTGTTTTTTGTGATTGAACAATTTCAGTTGATGTCCAAACTAGTCAAGAAACAACACTAAGCTGCGTTCTCTAACAATGGAAGGAACTTGTTTTCTCCGAGGACAACCTCTTACAACAGTACCCTCTCTTACTAGACAAGGGTTCCTTCTCCAAAGATTGAAGAACAATCGGATTGTTAGACTTTCAGGTTTGAAGAATCACTCGTATTATGATGGAAAGTCCAGGTCTTTCGATCTTAGCCTCAGAGCTTCAGGTAGTGTGTACACAACAATCTTAAGCTTCTATGTGATTGAAAGTCTATCAAATTTCAACTTTTGGTTGCTTCTCGTGAAATGGGTCTCGCTTGATTATGATTCTATGTTTTTCTGCTTAATATATACTTTTCTTCTTGTTGCTGATGGCTTCAGTAATGTGGTCGTTTCCCAATCGTCTTCAATTCCATTTTCAAAGTTCTGATATTTTCTAACTTTTTTCTTCTTCTTCAAATAAGACTAGTTTGTAAAAATTAACATATCACCCTCAACATTTTGATCTTGATGATCTGCAAGTTATACATTATTAGTTTCCTTCCTTGTAATTGAACAAAGGTCCCATAAAAGCAAGCTCGGCGGTAACGGAAGCAAGCACTACGAACATAGAATCCAAGGAAGAAGACCTTGTCTTTGTAGCTGGTGCTACGGGTAAAGTTGGTTCTAGAACTGTGAGGTTAGGTTCTTTCTTCTTTAAGTTTGAAGAGTAATTGGCAATGCTGGTTGGTTAAAGAGTCCTAACAATGTCCTCTTTCATTCAGAGAGCTGCTGAAACTCGGATTTCGAGTTAGAGCTGGAGTTCGAAGCGCTCAGAGAGCAGGAAGTCTTGTGCAAGTATGACTTACACTAATACTGAGTATTTGTTATCTTCAATGATCATGTGGTGGAGTTAATTAATCCTCAATTCATACTTTGCAGAGTGTTAAGGAAATGAAGCTCCAGAACACAGATGGAGGAGCTCAACGTAAGAACTAAATTTCCTGATTTGTTTATAGTATTTTAGTTATAGAAAAGTAAGAGGCAGTGTCTGTGTCTTTAGCCCAGCTGTAGAAAAGCTAGAAATTGTGGAATGTGACTTGGAGAAGAGAGATTCAATACAGCCCGCGCTGGGAAATGCATCGGTGATCATTTGCTGTATTGGTGCTAGTGAGAAGGAAATCTCCGATATTACCGGCCCTTATAGAATCGATTACCTAGCCACCAAAAACCTTGTTGATGCTGGTAAGAAAACTTACACTCAAAACGGTTTATTTCCCTTCCTCTTTCTTGTTTCATCCTTGCCTTTTTGTGGTATTATGAGCAGCAACCTCTGCAAAAGTTAATAACTTCATTTTGGTGACATCCTTGGGGACAAATAAATTTGGATTTCCTGCCGCGATTCTCAAGTAAGTCTCTAATGTGTGTCACCGGAGTTGATGGTATATTCTTGTTATATGACTTCTTCTAAACATCTTGTTTATGAAGCCTATTTTGGGGTGTTCTTTGCTGGAAGAGAAAAGCTGAAGAAGCGTTGATTGCAAGCGGTCTCAATTACGCAGTGAGTGATTCACAAAATATCTTAAAACACCAAACCTTAGAATTTTGATTGTTTCACAGACTTTTTTGATTGTATCATACCTTAGAAATTTGGCTTTCCATCTTATTTCCTCAGATAGTTAGACCTGGAGGAATGGAGAGACCTACTGATGCGTACAAGGAAACTCATAATCTCACTCTTGCTCTAGACGATACATTGTTTGGTGGTCAGGTCTCAAATCTCCAGGTATTGTTATTTCTCCCTTGTCTCTGATACAGTGATATGACCACATTATGAAGAAGTTTTGATTTGTTTTTCTTTCTTTTTGCTTCCCTTTTATTGAGCTCCAGGTTGCAGAATTGCTCGCTTGTATGGCAAAGAATCCTCAACTTTCTTTCTCTAAGATTGTGGAAGTAGTTGCTGAAACAACTGCACCATTAACTCCATATGAAAAGCTTCTTGAAAAGATTCCTTCGAAACGTCCTTATGTGCCTCCACCAAAGGTTATATTGCTTTCTTCTCCTCTCTTTTTCTAATTATGACAAGATGGTTATCTTTATCTCTCTGCATTTTGATTGTGGACAGGAATCAGTTGCAGCCAAAGAGGTGAAACCAGTTCCTACTAAGCCTGTCACTGAAGAACCAAAAGCTCCCAAGGAGGAGGAAGCACCTGCCAAAGTTAAAGATGTTAAACCTAGGCCGCTCTCTCCTTATGCCGCGTAAGACACCTTGTTCCTAAAAATTTAATATGTAACTAAACTGACTTGTTGACATGCCATTGATTGTTTTCGATATCTCTTGTTCCTTTTGTGTTTTGTTAATATATATAGTTATGAAGACTTGAAACCTCCAACATCTCCTATTCCAAGTTCAACCACATCACTTGGTGCCACCAAACCTAAGGAGGTAGATGCCACTCAGGTTCCTGTTGAGACCAATGTAGTTCCACCACCAGATAATATCTCAAATGTCTCAGTAGAAGAAGAAGAAGTGAAGCAAACCGAGGAAAAGAAAGATTGGCCTCTTTCCCCTTATGCCAGGTAAAAACCTTATTATCTTTGTGGATCGTATTCAGGTCTCACTAGATTGAAAATGATCATCACAGTTGGACTGACATATATGTGAGCGGTAATGACTGAACGTTTGATGCTTTTTTTTACTTGGTTGTATTGTGATGCAGCTATGACAATCTAAAACCACCTTCATCGCCCTCCCCTGAAGCTTCAGGTACCCAAAAGAGTGATTCTTTATCGCCTGGTCCAACGGATTCTGATACTGGTAAAAGCTCAACAGTTGCAACAAGTATCACTGAGACAGAAGCACCAGCCACACCAAAAATGAGACCTCTTTCTCCTTATGCAGCGTAACAACTTTTCCCATTCTGTTGTCTTATTTCCTATCACTATATATATAATCCGATTGTGGTTCGTTTTTATTCAATGAATATTCACTGTGTTTTGCAGTTATGCAGATCTGAAACCTCCAACCTCACCAACTCCTGCATCAACCGGTCCCAAGGAACCAACATCTGATAAAACAGCAACTGCAGAAGACAACTCAGAGTTGCCTGGAAGCAATAATGATGTGCTGAAATCAGTTGATGGTAGTGTGTAAGTATCTAGAAACCAGATTTAAAAAGTGCGTCTAGTTAAAGGAATCAATCTATACAATGTCAGGTTTTTACTTGGTTGTTTGTTCAGGAACACAACTCCTTCTGTAACAGAAGCAGCAACTGTTAACAATGTGACAGACACTTCACTTACTTCAGAAGACAATACAGCTGATCAGCCAAAGCCAAGACCTTTGTCACCTTACACAATGTGAGAGAGAAAAAAAGAGAGAAGGATTATGGTTTTAAGTGTGTTTATTGTTATTTACTTCTTCTTATGTGAGCTAAGAGACTCAAAATGTTTGCAGGTATGAGGACATGAAGCCTCCAACATCGCCGCTTCCATCTCCAGTCATCAATCATTAGTTATGTGAAACGAGAATTGGCCTTAAGTAAACCCTGTTTCCCTATCATAGTAATTTTATATAACCCAAATTTATTATCATTTCATAAACTAAAGCTTTTCAAAAACTGTATACAGATATAACTTAAATAATTAAAAAAAAAAAAGATTGAGAAAAAGGAAGTTTATAAGAAAATATTCACTGATTATAACGATGATGCAACTAAAACAGTGTGTGCATAGTAAGAAGAGTCAACAACACTCTTGGAGTTAGTTGTGTTGAAACTGTTGCAATCGAGACAAAAAGAGTTGTCGCCTTACGTCTCGGAGAGAAGACTACGGAACAGAAACTTAGGAAACCACAACGGAAGAACACAATCCCAATATATGAATCTTCTACATATTAACCTAATCACCTCTCTTGGATTCTCCTCTTTCACTTGTTTTCACTTAATTCACATATAAAGTTTTTTTTTTAATTGTATATATACTCGGAATTTACGTTTAATCACATTTTGAACACGTCCAAACAAAACCAACTCGATCAACATTTTGTAAATATGCTTTGATTAATTTCTTACATAATGTTTTTTTATCTTGTTGTGTCCTTGGCGTATTGAAGACTAGTCTGTTAGAACATTGAATAGTGAGTAC